TTTTAGCAAAGGGTAACAAAATTCACAGAGCATAACTCTGGAATTTCTACCGGATCATGAAATAACTTCACTCTTTGACCGTTAACTTTGAACACAAAATTGTCCTCGGGATTGACTAGGTCAACTGCTCCATACGGATAAACTTTATGAATGAGGAAATGTCCAAACCAACGGGACTTGAACTTTCCTGGGAACAGTTTGAATCTAGAGTTAAACAAAAGAGCTTTCTGACCAGCTCTTAACTTCCGGTGTTGAATTCTTTTATCATGTCATTTCTTTGTTTTATCTTTATAAATCTTGGCATTTTTATAGGACAAATTCCTATGTTCCTCTAATTCACACAACTGGACTTTTCTTTTACTGGCAGCCATATCTGGGCACATATTTAATTCTTTGATGGCCCAATATGCTTTGTGTTCAAGTTCCAAAGGAAGGTGACAAGTCTTACCAAAAACCAGCTTATATGGGGACATACCAATGGGTGTTTTAAAAGCAGTCTGGTATTCCCATAAAGCGTCATCTAATTTGAAAGCCCAATCCTTTCGGTTTGGCTTGACAACCTTTTCTAAAATTCCTTTTATTTCACGATTTGAGAGTTCGGCTAATCCATTAGTTTGCGGGTGGTAGGCATTTGCTATTCTATGGTTAATGTTATACTTTTCAAGAACTCCACTTAAGAGGTTATTTACAAAGTGGGTACCCTCATCACTAATTAGTGCCCTTGGGGTACCAAACCTTGTAAAAATCTGTTTTTGAAGAAATTTAACCACAGTTTTTGCATCATTAGTAACACAAGCCATGACCTCTACCCATTTAGACACATTATCAACAGCCACTAGAATGTATTGACAATGATTTGATGAGGGAAATGGTCCCATGAAGTCTATCCCCCATACATCAAACAACTCTACTTCTAAGATCCCGTTAAGTGGCATTTCATTCCTTTTGGAAATGGAGCCACTTCTTTGAGACTCATTGCATCTTTGTGCAAAATTGTGGGCATCTTTGAATAGAGTAGGCCAATAAAAACCATATTGTAAAACTTTAGCCGCTGTTCTTTGGTCTCCAAAGTGTCCTCCATATGCTGCTTGGTGGCAATGCTGTAGGATTGCTGCCACTTCAGTTTCAGGGATGCACCTTTTCAAGATTTGATCTGCACTTATCTTAAACAAGTAAGGGTTATCCCAAAGGTAAGTTTTAGTATCATGGAGAAACTTTTTGAACATATGGCCAGAAATATCAGAAGGTCTAATTCCACAAGCCAAATAGTTTGCTATATCGGCAAACCATGGTGGCTTTGATTCTAATACTAGAATTCTCTCATCGGGGAATGTTTCAACAATCTCTCCTTCTTCTAGGGTCTCCCTAGGCTTCTCTAATCTTGACAAATGGTCTGCAACTTGGTTGTCTACTCCTTTCCTATCAACTATCTCAAGGTAAAACTCTTGCAACAATAAAACCCATCTTATTAACCTAGGTTTAGCATCTTTTTTGGAAATTAAGTACTTGATGGCAGCATGGTCAGTGTGAATAATGACCTTGGTTCCCATCAAATATGATATGTATCTCTCAAAAGCAAAAACCACAACTAAAAGTTCTTTTTCAGTTGTTGTGTATTTAAGTTGTGCTTCATTCAAGGTCTTACTTGCATAATAGATTGAATGAAAAACTTTTTCCTTTCTTTGACCTAAGACAGCTCCAACAGCCCAGTCACTGCATCACACATGATCTCAAAGGGTTTGTTCCAGTCAGGAGCAACAACTACCGGTGCGGTTACTAAAGCTTTTTTCAAAGTGTTGAATGCATTTCTACATTCTTCCGTAAAATCAAATTTCTGATCATGTCGCAAAAGTAAACACAAAGGTTTTGAGATTTTTGAAAAGTCTTTTATAAACCTTCGGTAAAACCCAGCATGACCAAGAAAACTTCGTATTCCCTTGACGGTAGTTGGTTCAGGTAATTTTTCAATGATTTCGAGTTTAGCTTTGTCTACCTCAACTCCTCTTTTGGAAATCAAATGGCCTAAAACAATTCCTTCTTTGACCATGAAATGACATTTTTCCTAATTGAGAACCAGATCAGTCTCTTCATATCTTTCAAGACTCATTTTTAGATTTTCCAAACAATTATCAAAAGATGAGCCATAAACTGAAAAATCATCCATAAAGATTTCTATGGATTTATCAAGCATGTCAGATAATATGGACATCATGCATCTTTGAAAAGTTGCAGGAGCATTACAAAGTCCAAATGGCATTCTTCTAAAGGCAAAAGTACCATAGGGACATGTGAAAGTGGTCTTTTCTTGATCCTCGGGTGATATGGCTATTTGGTTATATCCGGAGTATCCATCCAAAATGAAGTAATACTCTTTTCCAGCCAACCTGTCTAACATCTGATCAATAAAAGGCAAGGGAAAGTGGTCTTTTTGAGTGGCTTTGTTTAGCCTACGGTAGTCCATACATATCCTCCAACCAGACACTATTCTTGTGGGGATGAGTTCATTCTTGTCATTGGTGACAACAGTAAACCCTCCCTTCTTTGGGACACACTGGATTGGACTAACCCAGRAACTACCGGCTATTGGAAAAATTATTCCSGCRTCTAGCCATTTCAAAATTTCCTTCTTCACTACTTCTTTCATGACCGGGTTCAATCTCCTTTAAGGCTCTATAGATTTGAAGTTCTTTTCATCTAGGATGATCTTATGTTCACATATAGAAGGACTAATCCCCTTAAGGTCAGCAATGGTCCATCCTATGGCTTTGGTGTGCAACTTCAACATATTTACAAGCTTCTTTTCTTGATGTAAATCTAGGGTAGATGATATGATGACAGATAATTTACCTTCCTCTCCTAGAAATGCATACTTCAAGTGAGATGGGAGTTGCTTTAACTCCAAATCAGGTGGTGAAATTATAGACAGGGTAAAATTCTTAAGCTCACTATTGTCCAACAACTCAAATGCTGCAACATCATATGGGACATCACCTTCTAAATCCTCAACAGTATCATTACCTATCTCAACACTATCCTCCTCCTCTAGCTTACAGGCCTTCCTAACTCCTTCCTCATAACATATTTTCTCAATCTACTCCTGAGCATTCCTCTAAGTAATCAGGGTACTTTAAGGAATTAAAGACATTGAATGTGATTTTCTGATCTTGGAGTCTCATGGTTAACTCTCCTTTTTGGACATCAATAAAGGTTCCACCAGTGGCTAAGAAAGGTCTTCCTAAGATTATGRGAATATCYTTATCAGCCTCAAAATCAAGGATGATGAAGTCAGCCGGAAAGATGAATTTGTCAACCTGAACTAAGACATCCTCAATCTTACCTTTAGGATAAGCAATGCTTCTATTGGCCAATTGCAAGGTAACAGTGGTAGGTCTAGCTTCTCCTATTCCTAGGGTGTTGAAAACAGACAAGGGCATAAGGTTGATACTAGCTCCTAAATCACACAAAGCTTTACCAATCTCCTTTCCACCTATAAAACAAGGAATAGTGAAACTCCCTGGGTCTTTAAGCTTAGGGGGTATTTTGTTGGTTAGAAGCGTACTACATCCCTCGGTAAGAGCTACGGTCTCATATTCGGTTAACTTCTTCTTCTTACTCAAAATGTCTTTTAGGAACTTGGCATAATTGGGCATTTGCTCTATTGCTTCAACAAGAGGTATGTTGATGTGCAATGCTTTAAACACTTCCAAAAACTTCTTGAATTGCAATTCTTCCTTTTGGTTCCTTAACCTTTGGGGAAAAGGAACATAAATAGGAACTGGCTTTATGATGGCTTTGTTTGGTTGTGTTGAACAAGATGGGTCCAGAGTGCCTAGAGTCTTGGTCTTACTTTCTTGAGGTTCATATGGGATTACAACTTTGGTTTTTGGACCTGTTATAACCTCATCCTCAATTGGCTTTTTCCTAGCAACTTCTTCAGGGAATAACAAAGGATAGTCCGACTTAGGAGGAACAAAGGTGGTGGTCTCAGGAAGTGGGTTATCCAAAGGTTTTGGTGGACTTTCCGTAACAGGGACCATAGGTATAGTCTCAGGTTTAGACACAACCTGTTCACTTTCTTTTGGTATGGTCTCAGTTAATTCCTTACCACTCTTAAGAGTCACTACCTTCACATGTTCTTTTCCTAGATCTCTCGGGACTTCAGTGTTACTAGGTAAAGTACCAAGGGCTCTACTATTCTGATTAAGAGCAAGTTGGCTAACTTGTGTTTCCARGTTTCTGATGGCAGCACTTTGTTGATTGAACAAAGATTGATTTTGAGTCATCATTTGCTGCTGTGCTTGAGACTGAGCAACCAATCCTTTTATTATAGCTTCAAAGGAAGATGATGAATCGGACTATGAAGGTGGTTTAGTCTGAAAAGGTGGTTGATTACTTTGAAAATTCTGGCGATGGTGATTTTGAGAATTAGAACTGCTTACATGTTGATGTTGTTGAAAATTATGGTTTCCTTGTTGCTTATGGACTGGAGGATTCAAACTTGGACTATTCCATGAAAAATTTAGGTGTTGTCTCTAACTGGCATTGTATGTGTTAGTGTAGAGATTCGATTTGTTATGAACATAATTCACAGATTCAGCATTATGTGGACACAGTTCATAAGAGTTTTCCCCTCCACAACAGACACACTACACTGAGAGGACTGCTGGAATAGGTGATGTGACAGCTGACTACACTCCTTGGCCAGAAGTTAGACTTTTAAGCATATTGGCCAAAGAAGAGAGTTGTGCTGTTAATGCAGTATATGTATCAACATCATGTATTCCTGTTGTCTTCTTTTGCGGTTGAGCACGTGGATCAGCCCAATGTCCATTATTAGCAGAAATTTTTTCTAGGATCTCATATCCTTCATTGTAGGTCATAGTTGTAAAGGCTCCGCCCGCAGTCGCATCGAGCATCTGTTTAGCAATGGGACTTAACCCATTGTAGAATGTCTCGAGTTGAATACAGTAGGGAATGCCATGGTGAGGGCATCTCCTTAACATCTCTTTGAACCTTTCCCAAGCGTCAGGAACAGCTTCATCGTCCATTTGTTTAAAAAGGCAAATTTCATTTCTGGACTTAGCATTTCTGGTTGGTGGGAAATATTTTTGTAAAAACTTTTCCGCCATATTACTCCATGAAGACACAGACCACGAAGTTAATAAATTAAACCATGCCTTTGCCCGATCCCTTAGAGAAAATGGGAAAAAAGTGAGTCTCAGAGCGTCATTAGACACTCCCGAGATCAGGAAAGCATCAGTGATTTCCATAAAGGATTTCAAATGTGAGTGTGGGTTCTCCGAAGGTAATCCGGAAAACTGTCCGTTTGTTTGCAACATGTGAAACATAATCGGTTTTAGTTCAAACTGAAGAATGCTCATATGCGGCCTAACTATCCCGGAATTTAATTGCTCAAAATCCGGAATGACATAGTCCATGATCCGTCCATTTTTGGAATTTGGCAAATTAATGATGTTCGGAGTTTGTTCTCTTGGTTGTTCATTATTTTCCAATTATGTGTCCTCCTTACCCAAATTATTAACATTATGTGGGTGTCCTTGCCGAAAATTAGGAAAATGTGGTATTGTCCCAAAGGCAGGCGGTTGGTTTTCTAAATGTGGTATTTCCGGGATGATTGGGGGAGGTAACTCCATGTTGGGAGAGAGTAGAGCAAAAAATGCTCTTTGATCTCTCCTTCTTTGGAGAAACGTTCTCTCAATATCGGGATCCAATTCAAAAATTTCCCCGCGATGTCTCCGTGACATACACTACTTTCAAAACGTTTTTTTTTAAAACGGGACAAAAAAAATCAAATCTTTTACTTCAGTTAAAAGAAAACTTTTAACTAACTAATCCCCGGCAGCGGTGCCAAAAACTTGATCGGTGGAAAACCACAGACTACAATCAAGACCAAAAGCAAGTATACAAATAGTCCCAATATCGTTTTTCAAGTAATAAAAGTGGTACAAGTACCAGATATCGTCCACAGAGATCGTAGTAAAAGTTTAAAAGAAAGTAAAGTTAAGGAAATGATTTCAGAAGGCGAATTCGAAGACTTAGATTAGAACAGAGTTAACACAACTAAAAACATGAGATAACAGATAATAAAAGCAAGCCAGGGTGTATGACTTTTCGGGTGATATGTAAATACTATTTCCAATCGACCAATGCTGTCAAAATGCTACAGCATGAAACCATGCTGACAGATTGCTACAGCAGTCAATCAGTAACAACTATTTTTACCAATTACTTTGAAGGTATTCATCTCGGACTTCACCAATGCACTGATATTATAGCTTTCAACCCATATCTCTATGAGGTATCCAGACCAGTGAAAGTGACAAATGGTGTCTTCAAAGTATATGGAAAAACAAATCTCTTTTGTTAAAAATCACTCTCTCGAGTGGATTCCCATATCATTCAAGTTGACGTGTTCTGAATGGCTCAGAATGGCTCATCTCTGAATCCATTCCACTTTAACACTTCAGAGTGATCAACCCATCGAGAATTAACAACTTAGAAAATACGGACAACAAATCTCTTTGTTAGCAACTCTCTCAAGTCTACTTCCCATATCATCCAAGTTGACGTGCAAACAATGGCTCAACTTAGAGTCAACGGCACTTTAACACTTTCAAAGTGATCAACTCATCAAGAAGTGTCATTGGTTTTATAAAGCTTGAATGAACAAGTAAAACATCGTTGTTACATGAAAGGGTCGACTATATTTTGGTTTAAATACTCACCATTTTCGTCATACACTCGAGCTTATAAAATTAGCTACTCATGACGAAAAGTAAATAACAAGAAATATAAAGTGCGGCAAGTAAAGACATAAAATAAATGCGGAAAGTAAATGACGGAATATAAATGACGGAATAATAAAGATGCGGAAAGCATAAAAAATAAATGACGTAAATAAAATGCGAGTAAGCGTAAATAAATAAAAGACGGAATATAAAGAACGATAATATAAATAAAGCGATTAAATAAAGTGATAAAAGAACTTGAAATGTAACCAAAAGATTTATAATATTTAGAAGACAACTTGTTCTCCAAGTAGTATGGAGAACTACTTGAGAGAAAAGTGTGGAGTAGAAGTGTTGAGGTGTGTTCAATACTCCTCCCAACATCCCTTTTTATACTAGGGATAGAGTGAGAGCAAAATGGTCAATTCACACCCAATTAGTTTAAAAGGAACCAAAAAGTACACTTTAGCAAACTAATATTTAGAAAGTAACTACATTAGTCTTGTAAACTCCAGCTAATCTGATTAAACTACAGCTGGTTCAACTTTAGAAGGCTTTAAATGTCTTCATATTGTCATGTCAGTCAACTCCAAGTCTTATCTTTCTCTTCCTCTACCATCAGGTCATGCTACCACATTCCTGCAGCATCAACCTGCTTCAATMTGTCCAAAATGAGTTAAATTTAGACCAAAATCCACTAAAAGAGGTTCAACATTCTTCTTAGCATAAAAACAGAGAAAAGAGATAAAATGACTCAAAGTTGGGATATAAATGAAAAATAACCTATTTAAAAGAGAATAAAAAGGTACTTTACGTACTAAATACTAGGTATGTATCAGAGGGTGTGAGAAGAAAATATTTTAAAATATCAATCTCACAAACGCCTCTTAATATATAAAATGAGTAATAAGATGTTTATCTTATCTCATTGGTTTTGGGAGAAAAAGAAAGAAAAACTTAAATGTTCTAAAGTTTGAGAGAAACCAGAACCAAAAAGGAGGAGAAGTAGAAGTTGATTATGTGATTATAATCTCAATACGTGTTGTTGTTCATCTTCATTTTTGTGATCATAAGGTGAGTTTTTAATTGTAAGTTTTACTTTAAAAGTTTCATTTGGTATGATTTTAATAAGGAACTTTATGGTTTCGTACTTAGGTGTTTTTGGACGATTATGTACTATTTTTAGTGTAATGGTGAGTTTTTGTTTAAAGCTTTCCTTATTTGGAAACTGAGTATAAGAACTATATGGTTCATTATATGAGGTTTTGAGATAAAACAATTTGATGCCATTATCGGCAAAAAGGTGAATTTTTATCATGATTGTATCATATAAAGAAATTAGGATAACATATCAAGGAGCTGAGTATATTGGGATAAGAATGGTCTTCTACTAGGATGGCCTTGAGATTGAGATGACCTTTTACTAGGAGGGTCTTGCTTCTGGGATGGCCTTGCGATTGAAATGACCTTCTATTGGGATGGCCTTGCTTCGGGTGGTATGTATGATATGATGAATGTTGGGTCACCTATTGATTTGGTGATGACCCACTGATCTGTTCCTCTACCTTAAGCAACACTTAGTAGTTATTGGTTCTTTGTAAGTTGGT